TGAGGGGACTGTTCCAACTTTATTGATTTACATGCAGCTGTCCAGCTTCCCCAACACTACTTGCTGAAGTGACTGTGTTTTTTCCACTGTATATTCTTGCTGAAGGGCAAGCTTTAGCACAGCAGGGCCACACATCATCCTCCTGAATGCTCCTCACAGCATTAGGAGTGTTCAGAAACGTACACAATGGCCCAACATGGGGAGGATGGGGCGTGTGATTCAGACTTCTCTCTTCTTTAGGGAGAACAGGCATTAGCAGGTGGGCTGTCTTGATGTCCAGGGCCTTGAAGAGAAGCCTCAACCTGAATGCAGACCCCTGAGCGGCAGGAGACAGGACTGGGGGGAGGAACCTTCCTGGGACCTTCAGGCCTTGAGAGGTTGGGGCAGTGCCTAGCCTAGCAGGGAACCACAGTTAGACTTGGAGAAAGAAGTGTGTGCCACGTGGTTGTGAGAGGACACACATACCCGTGAGATCCCCCCATGAGATGTCCCAGAAATGATGACAGAGGCTTTTGGGGTGGCCGGGGAGTCCTACAATGGTAGACAGGGTCGGAGCTAGAGAACTACTTCATATAATTTTACTGTGTAATGTCTTGTTTGGGGTCTGTCCTGGGCCAACAAGCAGCGCTCCGACCCTCCTACTGAGTGAATGCCCAGAGGTGGAATGGCTTGAGGCCACCAATGAGAGAAGCAGCCACAGGTGGCCTCAGGGCTTGGAAAGCTCACCGCGTGAGCACCCGTGCTTGGCTTGGCTCACGAGAAGGGCATCGTCTCTGCTCAGTAAACCCCAGATTAAGGGCTGATCATCTAAGGTACGCGAGGCAAAGGTGGCAGGCAATCTTTCATCAGGTTTCCCGGGCTAGGGCCATGCCTGGTTCACCTTTTTATTACCTTCTCACCTCTCATTGGTGCCTAATCTATGTTATCTGTAGATTCTGACTGAATCGGATGACAAGCCAGAGCTCCTTCTTGGCCACACTCTACCACCCTCTCTCATCCCTCATCTTTAGCCCTCCGGAGCGCTCCCGGGGGAACCCTAGTAGGTTCCACCTAATGGATCCAGAGTGAGAGCCAGAGAAGTGAGGGATATAGTTTGCATGGAGGCAAAAACAGAAGGAATGGAGGGAGTGTGCTCAGTGAATGCCGGGAAATGGGGGAGGGGGCTGGTCACCTAATTACCAGCTGGATTACAGCTCCCGCTGTCTCCCTGCTAATCCCCGTGGCTCCCTCTGTATCCCTGGCTGCGCACGTCTGCCCTGTGAACGGCACCACAGGGTCAAAGTAGCGTAACTGAGGTCAGAAGGAGGAGGCAAAACATCCCATGAGCACTGTCACCTCCAGGGCCGACACTGGCAAGTCTCCTGAGCTCTGCATCTGGATGTGATATTAGGAGGCCAGCGAGGGCGTGGCGGGTAGCAGGAAGGTGAGGGCTTGCGGTGTTTACCATCCTTGTTTGAGCACAAGAAGATTCTGGAGGCTGGGCACTTTGAGGAGGTCTTCAGTGACCCAGAGGCAGCGCTCAGTCTCCAGAATGCGGCGTGACACCCACATTTGGGGGTCTCTGTCCTCTTGACAGAGCTGGCTTCCCACAGAGCCCCGTGCTCAGAAGGGCCCTGCACATGGCTAATGCTCTGCTGCTGCCATCTTATTTAATCACTTTTCTACCGTGGCAAAGTATATATGTCCCAGTGTTGTACGATAATTAGAAATAAAACACACCCACACACTTCATAAAATTTGTCATTTTAAAGTATACTATTGGGACTTCCCTGGCAGTCCAGTGGTTAAGAATCCGCCTGCCAATGCAGGGGACGTGGGTTCGAGCCCTGGTCAGGGAAGATCCCACATGCCGCGGAGCAGCTAAGCCCATGCGCCACAACTACTGAGCCTGCACTCTAGAGCCCACAAACCACAACTACTGAGCCTGTGTGCCACAACTACTGAAGCCTGCACACCTAGAGCCCGTGAGCCACAACTACTGAGCCCACGTGCCGCAACTACTGAAGCCCATGCATTCTAGGGCCAGCATGCCATAACCACTGAGCCTGCGTACTGCAACTACTGGAGCCTATGCGCCTAGAACCTGTGCTCCGCAACAAGAGAAGCCCCTGCGATGAGAAGCCCGCGCACTGCCACAGAGAGTAGCCCCGGCTCACTGCAACTAGAGAAAGCCCACGTGCAACAATGAAGACTGAGCACAGCCAAAACTAAATAAAATAAATAAATAAATAAAAATTTAAAAAGTATACTATTGAGTGATATTAATTACAGTCACAGTTTAGTACAACCATCACCACTATCTATTTCCAAACCTTTTTCCTTACTCCAAATAGAAAATCTAAACCCATTAAGCGATCACTCTCCCTTTCCCTCTCCCTTCAGCCCCTGATAACCTCTAAGGCATTTTCTGTCTCTATGAATGTGACTATTCTGGGTATTTCATGTAAGTGGAATCATACAATATTTATCCTTTTACGTTAAGGTTATTTCTTGGGACTTCCCTGGTGGCGCAGTGGTTAAGAATCCGCCTGCCAGTGCAGGGGACACGGGTTCGAGCCCTGGTCTGGGAAGATCCCACGTGCCGCGGAGCAACTAAGCCCGTGCACCACAACTACTGAGCCTGCACTCTGGAGCCCGCGAGTCACAACTACTGAGCCCACATGCCACAACAACTACGGAAGCCCACGTGCCTAGAGCCCGTGTGCTCCGCAACAAGAGAAGCCACTGCAATGAGAAGCCTGTGCGCCACAACGAAGAGCGGCCCCCGCTTACTGCATTTTCGTTTTGCACTGGGCTCTGTAAGTTATTTCAGGGCTATTGTCAGATACTGAAGTCTAAGGCATACTTGAATCACCTCTCCCTTGGACGGTTTAGCACGTGTCACCCCTATTTAACCAGAAATTAGCCACCACACCTACCCTAGAGCCCACTTAGGTTTGCTGCACTCCTGTGGGCAAACATGGTTTTGACTTCTCGGTATATGTCACAGTGCAGAAGGAGAGTGGTTTACTCAAGGTCACTGGCTCAAGGAAAGCATCCATGTCCACAGAGCTTACTTACGTCTGCGTTAATGTGACCTGTACCACGCAGTCTTCAACAACATGACTTGATTCCGCTGTCTTTACCAATGTGGTGTGAGCATTGTGGAAACGCTTGCCCAGGAAGATAAAAGCTGCAAATAATTTTATTATTTTAGGAACTTCCCCCAAACCCACTTAAAACTGCTTAGCCTTTCAATAGATAACATCGAATGACTGTTAACACACCTTGCTGTTTCCACAATCCTGAACTATTACATCAGGAGACTTAACACCGTCCTTATGATTCCCACACTGAAAGACCCACCTTCGACCAGCTGAATATCCTGACTTCACCGGCCTGACTCAGAGACGCCGTCAAGACTGCCAAGTAGTGACCTCTCTTACTGCCGGGAGCTTTGCTTTATCAACAGGCTGTCTTGGTGGTATTTTATGGGAGCCTGTATTCAGTAAGCTACAATTGTACTTTCTGCACAGTGCAGTTGTTCCAACCCTATTTGATCCAATGTACACCCACCCATCCCTCTATTCGTTGACTTATTCACTTATTCAACACATGTTTATTGAGTGCCTACTATATGTTAGGGACCCTTAGACACTAGCTCCATGATGACTGAGACAGATGTGGCCCTTGTTTTTGCAGAGCTCACCCTCTGCTTCATCCTTCTGTCATGTTCTTGCTGCTAGAGAAAGAGGAGATTAAGAGCCACTTTCAACTTGAATTTACTTAAAAATGGAGTTTTCTGCAGCAAACAAGTTGGATCTCTGCTTTTAAAATCTGAATCTCTGGACTTCATTGGGGAGGATGAAGATACATACTCTCTTATGTTCAGTACCTGAGGGCCTGCGAATTTAACCAGCAAAAGACAGATTAACAGGAGAAAAAGAAGATGAATTTGATTAATATTTTACATGCACAGAGTTCACAGAAAAAAGTGAAACTCAAAGAGGAGGCTCAATTTGGGCATTTATATCTCATCTTCTTCAACAAAGGAAAGGAGGTTTAGGCTTCTAGAGACAATACATTGTGGAGAAGTGACTAGGAAATATAAGGAGGAAACTAATGGAAGATAATGGTTTTTGTTTGTTTTGTTTTTAAAAAATTTTTGGGCATCCCGAGGGGCTTGTGGGATCTTAGTTCCCTGACCATAGATCGAACCCATGACCCCTGCAGTGGAAGCGTGGAGCCCTAACCACTGGACCGCCAGGGAATTCTTGTGGGTTATTTGAATAAGGTCTGTTTCTGCAGATTCATCTCAGTGACAACTCTGTCTTGGTGATAAGAGTCTCTCTCCTCTTTCTAGTACACGAGAGGGGGAAGCCTTCACCAAGGGAATTTTATGCCCTGCTTTTAGGCAGAAAAGGGGAGGAAGAACTCATCCTGTGTCTTGTTCATTCTCACTTGCCTTCAGTTTAAAGTAATCCTTACGCCACAGTGGCATATTTGGGGATGGTACATCCTGGTCCCTTCAACTTGATCTTTAGAAGGCCAGGCGGCAAGATGGTCTTAGGATGAGTTTGTCACTCCCAATGATTACCTACCTCGTCAGGCCTGTGTTTCCTTACCTCTAAGGTGAGTCTTGTATCCTGGTGCCACCCTGTGCAGCCAGTGCAGGGACAGAGCCCAGGGCTGGGAAACCATAAGGTGGCCCGAGTCCCCCAGCACAGCCCTTTCAAACCCAGCTCCCAGTTGGTGAAATGACCCAGCGGCCCATCCCAGGGGAACCCCCAGAGGGATGTTTCCAGGATATGTGATCAGCCTGGTAAGGAAGGGGCCCTATTAGAAGGTATGACGGACCAAACCGGTTTTTAAAGCAGCCCCAGCCACTTGGGGGTGGGGAGTGGGCTGTTATGTGTCTAGATGAACGCGAATCCGGACGCTCGAACCGTTCTCTCGATGTTTGGTTTGCTTTTAACTTGAGATGGGCTTTCACTTTTCTTCCCTTTTTATCTTTTCTGCAGCCGGTGCTCGAGATGCTCCAGCCCAGCCTGTTTATCTTGTGAGCTGCGGCAGCTCTGTCCCCGTGTGATTACATCTTTCCTTGGTAATGGGGTTTTGACTGGCCTTTTGTATAATGCCGAGCCACCATGGGACTGGAATATTCTCCCCTTATTTTTATCGGGCGCTTTTATTTCCTGAGCTGTTTTGTGAAGTGTGCCTGTTTCTGGTTTTGCTCCTGGTCAGGAAAGGGGCCCAGGATTCAGGGAGAAGATCAGATGCCCTGGTGTGTGAACTGGTCTTTCAAAGAAGGAAGCAGGAGTTGATCACCTGCTGAAGCTCAGGGCCAATGCAGAGCTGCCTCCCAAGAGGCCAATCAATTTCAATTAAGGAGATTAAAAGCCCCGAGCGCAGGGAGGGCTGGTCACGGGCTTCTGAATGCCTTGCTTCTCCAGCAGCCTGAGAGCAGGCCATGGGCCCCAGAAGCGCTGGACGGTGTCCTATGGGCCAGTGTCAAGATGGCAGTGAGGGGTCAAATGCAAAAGGAGAAGCTGGCTGAAGGGGCTCGTGATTCTTCAGGGGCCCTAGTGGCATTTGGGGCAGGACGGACCTGTCAGTGTCCTCAGCCCCATCAAGTATCCAGTGTCCCTAGTCACTGAGCTGTCCCAACTCAACCCAGCCCAATCCCCACCCCCGCTTCCTGGTGGGACCACCCTGGGCTCCCGGCAGCTGCCTCTGATCTGCTGTGTAGGTGAAGGGCAGGCCTTCTGCGGCTTCCGGGTGGAGAGCTGGTTCTCCTCGTCTGGACCCTCCTTCTCCACTGGGCATCCCAGAGGCTCTGTGTCTGCTACCTTTCCGAGCTGCTCGGGCATCCTAGAGGCCACACCCCCGAGGGGTAAGGGCAGAGGCCAGAGTGGGACGTCTGGTGGAGGAGAGGGGCTTTGGCATCACACAGACCCAGGGCTGAGCCCGCCTCTGCCCCTTACTGGCTCTGCGTTGGCCCTGAGTCAGCACGTGACCAGCCTGTGCTTTTTTTTTTTAAAAACCAGTGGACACCCCAGGGCATCCAATCTGTGCCCAGGCAACCAAGTGAGCCTCACTTTCCATGTTTATAAAAGGGAGCTCTCCACCCCGGGCTCACAGGAAGAACGGCCTGTACCTACAGTGTCTGATGTCCCCAAGCCCCCTCTGATTGTGGTGGCCCAGGGTAGACAGGGGACCGGAGGCAAAAATTACACTCAGCTCCCCAGACCTGGAGATTTTTGTTCAGAAGCCAATAAATCAACAGCATCGCGAGGATTCGATGCACGTGCTTTGTACGCTGTAAGCGCTAGGTAGGGGTCGAAGGGCGGGGGCGGGAGAACTGGGGCCGTGGGAAGAGAGTGCACAGGATGCAGGGGAGGAAGGAGGAAGGAACCTCCAGGAGGGGGAGCGGCCTGAGGCTGATGGGAACCACGGTGTCTGTTAGGCAGGAAAGAGAAGCCAGGTCCAGCTTCGCGGGCAGCAGCAACTACAGAGACAAGCACAGACTTTGCTGGGAAGCCCAGGAGGCTGAAGCCGCCGTCCCCCCGGCCCTCGGGGGTGAGGTTCCCTCGAAGGACTGGCTGTTCGTCCGGGGGGGTCTCTTCCTTCTATCGGCTGCTTACCCTTCTGGCTACTTTCCTATTAACAAGACAGCCTGGGGAAGGAAGGGGGCGGGGAGGGAGGCTCATTTCAGGCCATTTGGCTTCTTGTTTAATCTAAAGGACAGGATGGCCACTGTAGAAAGTGACCTTATCAAGAAGGATGGGGTCACAGAGCTCCAAACCCTTGTGGGGAACCAGGTACAGGGCGGGTCACAGACTTACCCAAGGTCACCCTCGTTAACAGCAGGGCCAGTCTCCTGCTGTCCTGCTACACCCCCCAGCCTCCCGGGCCTGCTTTCATCCCTGACCTACTTCTCCCAGGATAATTGAGAAATGAGTGATGGGAGCTGCAGGCTTCTGCTTGCTGTCGAGAGCTGGGTGGCTGTTCATAAACTTTTAAAGCATCTGGACCTTTCTCTAAAACAACAACAAAATCAGTCTCAGGCACGTTGCGTTATATAAAAATGGTCTTATTCTTGATACAAATTTATTTCACAAATGCAGAGAAGTGGAACGTACCATTTGTACCGAAGAGGAGGAAATGATTGCTATAAGGAGATTTAAGGTTGCTAAGAATGGGGTAGGAGAGTTTCCAAAAGGAATCCCACCTCGAGGTGGGACTGGCTTTGTGGGAGGGATGGGATTATGACCCCCAGCCCTTCCTTCCTGAGATGGAGACCTGAGGGATGGCACGAGGGCAGGTTGTGGCCCCCAAGTTAGGCAGTAGGAAGGGGATGGCGTGTGATGTGTCCTAGGACCTGCCTTCAAACCCAGCACCTTGTAGGGACAGGTTTGTGTCCTGGGGAACTGGCTTTGTCATGTCATGTCATGGGAACCCTGCCAATTTTGTTAAGGACCCAAGGGGGGAAATGCTGCCAGTAAAGGAAGCGCCAGACGGCAGGAGGCTCAGCCTCAGCAACAGGGCCTTGGGTTGTCAGTAGCAGAGCCAGAGTCTTTGTCCGTTCGGGTTGCTATAGTAAAATACCACAGACTGGGGGGTTAAACAGCACACATTTATTTCTCACACTTATGGAGGCTGGAAGTCTGAGATCAAGGTGCCAGCAGACTTGGTTCCTGGTAAGGCCTCTCCTCCTGGCTTGCAGACGGCCACCTTCTCGCTGTGTCCTCACAGGGCGGAGAGAGAACACTCTGGTGTCTCTTCCTCTTAAAAGGGCACCAATCCCATCATGGGGGCCTCACCCTCATGACCTCATCTAAACCTAATTTCCGCCCAGAGGCCCCACCCCCTTATACCATCATACTGGGGGTCAGGGCTTCAACATGTGGATTTTGGGGGGGACACAGACATTCAGCCCATAACACCTGGGCTCCATGCCTCCCCATCATCTCTTTGTCTCCCTATTCATTTATGCTGGCCTCTGAGCAGTGCTTCTCAAGGTGTCCATGGTAAGGAACCAGTTTTTTTTTTTTTTTTCTTTTGGCCGCCCCCCTCAGTTTTCAGAATCCTACTTCCCCGACCAGGGATTGAACCCAGGGCCATGGCAGTGAAAGTGCCGAGTCCTAACCACTGGACCGCCAGGGAAGTCCCAAGGACCAGTTTCGTTATTTGCAATGAAGTATGATGTGTGCTGAGAAAAATGAGATGATTGTATGAAATACAAGCTCATTTTCTTTTTTATGATTGGGTTCCATGCCCTAGCATTGCTGTTGAATTGGCATGAATGCCCCTGAATGCTCCTGCTTGCTTTCTGTCTCCATCTCATTCTGGAGCAGGGACCGAACGAACCTTTGAGGGCCTCCTGCTGCAGACCACCCTTTCAGTGGCGCTGTTTAGAGCTCCATAGAAAGTACGCCATCAGCCATGGAGAGGTGTTATCTGAAGCTTCCAGAGACAAAATGTCATGAGCCCCAGCTCAGCAAGGTCCTCACTGGGCCTTTTCACCTTTGTTGTCTTGGGATGTGTGGGGTCTGTAAGGAGGATGGTAATCTGGTTGCCTCTCTCTCAATGGCATTCTGAGGTAGCAGAAGCACAGGCCTGAGTCGGAGAGCGGAAGGCAAATCTACCTCCCCCACTTGCGAGCTGTGTGAATTTGGGGTGAGTGATTAACTGGTATGTGCCTCAGTTTCTCCATCTAGCAAATGGAGGTGATGGTAGCTTCCCCTCAGGGAGCTTCCCCTCAGGGAGGTGAAGATTAAGTGAGACGTGCCTGAACTAGGCACGGTGCCCCATCCCTCTCTCTTCCTCCTTCCTCTGAAGAAGGGCCCCAGTGCAGAGGTAGGACTCTGCCCCAGGGGAGAGAGGCGTGCGCTTGACAAGAGCAGAGGGTCGTCTTTCACAAAAATCACAGGATGTCCGAAAAGAGGGTCTGAGTCAGCACAACTGGGAATCCAGACAGGAATGAAGATTTCCCTGGAGAAAATTTCCCCAGCAAGAGCACTGGAGCAAGAAAGGTCGGATGTCAGACCGGTTGACCAGATAGCTCAAATCCTGCATTCAGATTTTCTGGGGGATGATGCTCTGACCAGAGAGGAGACTGACCTCCATGGTATCTAACATAAATACGATGTCTGTGAGCACTGTGGTTTCTGGGTTTCGCTCAGTAAGCCTCAAAAGCACGATCTTGGGGCATTGAGATGAATGTCACGAGACCCGGGGCCTGACGCTCATCAGCAGCAGAGTGGCAGCAGAGGGCCCTGTATTCGTTTGCTCAGGCTGCCGTAACAAAGTCCTGCGGACTAGGCCGTTTAAACAACAGAAATGTCTTGTCTCACATCTGGTGGCTAGAAACCTGAGATCAAGGTGTGGGCAGAGTTGGCTCCTGCTGAGGGCTGTGACAGAAGGGTCTGTTCCAGGCTTCTCTCCTTGGCCTGTGGTTGGCTGTCTTCCCCCTGTGTCTTCACGTCGTCTTCCCGCTGTACGTGTCTTGTGTCCCAATTTCCCCTTCTTATAAGGACACCAGTCATATTGGATTAGGGCCCACCCTAGTCATGTCACTTTAAATTAATTACCTCTTTAAAGGCCCTATCTCCACATACAGTCACATTCTGAGGTCCTGGGGGTGTATGGATGCAACATATGAATTCTGGGGCCAATTCGGCCCGTTAGAGCCCTTGAACCAACTGGGCTCAATTTCACCAGCAGAGAGATAATGGGTGCGCCTGTGGTTTTCCAGATTTCTCCTGATTTTAAGCAGATTAAGGTTCAGCCCAGAATTGTGCATCAACCTGCCACATGCAGCTGAATGTGTGACTTAGGCCATGTCATCTTTCCAGGTTAAAATTTATTTATAAAGCACAGATAATGAAAATAACGTCTATTTATCTCCCTAGGTGTTCTGAGCCTTAAGTTACAGATGCAGGGGTGATGCGTTACAAAACCAAACAAATCAGTCCTTAGGACAGGCGACTCAGGCAAATCGACCATCCCCACCACAACAAAAGAAGCTTTCAAACCCACAAGACAAGACAAGATTGTAATGCCTTCCTAACAGCATTGCTTTATTGACGCAAGGCAAGGAAAACGACATTAAATTCTATTGATTCTCTTTGAGATCTAATAATATGCTTTATTCAGATCTTATTCACATCCCTCTTCTTCCATGGGTCTATCTCAGGAGCTGACATTGGCCAGTTACAAAACAGAATTGGTTCTGCTGTCATTGGAAGTCACAGAGGCGAATGTGTTTTCGAACACAAAATCTACCATGCTTTCTTTGGGAAATAAGGCACAGCTGGAAAAAAAAAATCTCACTTCAAAACAAAATTGAAAGCATGGCTAACTTGAGATTTATTTGATTAGTCTTTCTCTGGGCTAATCAGTTTTAGAACCCATTCCTATTGGCACCAATGCGCCGATAAAATATCCAGCAGGAGAGAAGTATCACATCACTCAGAGAAACAAGGTTGTTCTTTTTTTTTTTTTTTTTTTTCGGCGCCGGGGCCCCTCCAGAGCCGGCAGCCTCAGTGAGGCCGCCCTCCCCTCGGCCTCCGGGGCACTTCCGTGACGGCGGAGGGAAGAGACCCCGAGCTGCGGGAGTTCCAGCTCTGTGGAAACGCGGGCTCCGTTCTGGGCGCAGGGGGTGGGACCCGCTTGTTCATTTTTTAAAAAAGCATTGAATTAATGTTTACACTGCTGAGTCAAGTTATTTATACATATGCTATAGGTTTTGCATCTCCAGAATATGTTTGCATTAACAGTATGATAAATTGTACCTGACTTACTTGTGAAAAATCATCTTGAGAAAGGTTTTTTTTTCCCTGGGAAAATATGGAAATGACACATGGTGTGTACAGCCAGAAACACTCAGCAGAAGGAGAGGCGGGTTTTTAGCTGTCGCAATGGATGGTTAAGAATTTCGGATTTGGGTCAGTGTCATTACGCTCAAGTCACTTCACCTCGAAACCTCATTCTTCATCTCCAGAATAGGTTCCAAACTCAGTGTTTTCTGTAAATATTCAATAGGATAATACACGCACAGAGTTCGACATTAACCCTCCCAGAGGCCAATAAGAATCCAATAAATGCCAACTTCTCTATCATATTCTTACAGAAGAATGCTTGCCTGCTTTACCTTTCGTCTGTGGAAAAATCACAAAAAGGATTAAGTTTGTTGAAAAGAAAGGTGGGTCTTGGGCCCCCTTAGCACACGTTTTCTCCATCCTTTCTAAAAAGTGATGCTAACAAGCGAACAGGTGTTATAGGGAGAAGGTGGAGTAACCAGAACATTCCTACTTTGCTGGTGGGAATGTAAAAGAGTGTAGACCTTTTGGAAAACTCTTTGGTGGTGCCTCAAAAGTTAAACAGATATGGCCCAACAGTTCCACTCCTAGGTATATACTCAGGAGAATTGAAAACATGCATTCATACAAAAACTGGTTCATAAATGTTCACCGCAGGATTATTTGCCGTAGTGGAAAGGTGGAAAGACACAGCTCAAGTGTCTAGCAACTAATGAATGGATAAACAACATATGGGACAGCCGTGCCAGGGAATTTTATTTGGCAACAAGGGACAGTGAGGTACGGACACAAGCTACAACATGGATAAACCCTGAAAACATGATGCTGATGGAAAGAAACCAGTCGCAAAAGGCTACATACAGCATGATTTCATTCATACGGAACATGCAGAATAAACAGCTCTATAGAGATAGAAAGTAATTCGTGGTTGCCTAGGGCTGGGAGGGAGGGCAGGAATGGGGAGCGACCGCTAATGGACACAGGGTTTCTTTTTGGAAGGATGAAAATTTTCTGCAATTAGAGAGTGATGATGGTCATACAACTTTGTGAATATTCTCAGGACGCTGAACTATACCTTCTAAAATGGTGAATTTTATGCTTTATGAATTGTATCTGGAAAAAAAAATCAATGAATGCTTAATGTGGAAAATAAGAAAACAAGGAAACAAAAATTGTCATTGTAGCATCCAGAGATAACCACTGCAAATGCTTTGACGTAGATCCTTCCAGACTGATGCAAATATATACATTTAAAAAATAAAATAAAATGGGATCATACCAAACATACTGTTGAGTGAAAGGTTTTTTTTTTTTGTATTACTGTTACTTTTCCCCTCGATATTAAGAAATTGCCTCTCTAAACGTAGGCGGCATCCACCTCAGAGTCTTCTCAAATGTCTTGCCTTTCCACTTTCCTCGGCCAAGCCGTGCTTCTTCTCTTTCCAAAGCTCTTCTTAGGACTTTTCAAGCGAATCTATTCGCCTTGGATCACCAGAGTGCTTTCAGTTGCTTCCTGTCACAGCTTGACCTGTTACAAGCTATTCATTCATATCCATGATTTCAGTGGAATTGTTCCCTAAACCCATATTTCTACCTTGACCTCTATTCCATACACTAGTCCTGCATCTCCAAATGCCTACTGGAAATTCCCACTTGAACATTCATCACTGACATTATCATAAGACTAAACTCGAACTCATTATATTTTTCAATGCCCCAGCCAGGCACAGCGGAAGATTTGAATTTTGAAGTGGACGTTCATGCCCACACTTGACCTTTCTCATTCAAGTCAAGCTTTTTAGAAGCCGTGGAAACCTACTCTGGCTAACTTAGAAAAGGTAGGTATGGAGGGAGATGGGGTAGCTCACACAATAGGCAGGGGGGAAGGCCGGGGAACCAGTTGGAAAAAGGGCAGGAAAATGGCATTCCGGGGGCTGCACGGCAGTGACCACAGCCAGGTCGGCCCCCGAGCGAGGTCTGGGCCAGTGCCTGCTGCTGGTACAGGCATCCCTGCCGCTGCTGCTGGGTATGCTAATGGTCCCGCGTCACTCTAGCAATTGCTCAGAGTGAAGAGAGCAGTCAGATATGGGACAGTGTAAAGAAAAACAAGTGCCTATCCACTTAGTCCTGGTTTCCTTAAACCAAGAAAAATGGAGATCATTTTCCTAACCACGAGCCCCTCCACAAGTGTGGGTTGTTTCTACTAAGAAGTGAGGTTTTCCTTCCAATCTCTGTTCTGTTCCTGACGGCGTACCTCTCCTCCCCCTCAGGGTTTCCATATCCCCTCATGGCCCCCATATCCCCTCACTGCCTCCTGTTGGCTGAAAAAAATGCACAACATGAGAATGGTGAGTTAAGTTTTATTTGGGGCAAAATGAGAACTATAGCCCGGGAGACAGGATTTCAGACAGCTCTGAGAAACTGCTCCAAAGAGCTGGGGGGGAAGGTCAGTATATATGTGATTTTGGTAAAGGGGGAGTGCATGCGGTCAAGCACATATTTTTTTGTAGAAGGTTTCTGCTAGTCTCGTGAAGGTTACTGCTAGTCATGAGGTGCAGACGTCACCATGAAGGATTTTAGTGCTTTTCTAGATACGAGGAGATGCAAGAATTGGGCTCAGAAAATCTTCACCTGAAAATACCTATCTGAAGATCTGTTCTGCCAGTTTTCTCTAGAGCACAGACTGCCTCATTTCTGATCTTCACCCTGAGCTCCCTTTGGGGGGTGTTGGAGGTCAGCAGCTGCAGCGGCTCATAATTGAATCCTTGTAGAGGTAGATGGCAAGTACCAATTTGTAGGTGACACTCCAGATCCCCTCACGGGCCCCACGTCTAAGCCATGCTTATTATTCCTCCTTCCTCCCACCTGTCCCTTCCCATCATCATTGGCCCATAGCATTCAGCTGCAACAATGGAAACCGCTCATCCCCAAGCTTGGTGATACATTGGACTCACCTGGGGCAGTATTTCTGCTTCAGAGTTGCTGTGAGATCTCCCAAGCCATATTCTCAACAAGCTACTGAGGAGATCACAGCGGGAACAGACCCACCAACCCACCAACTGAAATCTACAAACTGAGTTTGTTACATGGAGCATTAGTCCTCTGAAAAAGGGTTCTATATTGAAATGTCTGTAAAACGCAGCCTCCAGAGATTTACAATCGAAGAGGTCCTGCAGGTGAGATACCTGTGAAACTGTCCAATCCAGAATGTCTAAGACCTATGAGCTTGTGAGAGCTTCAGAGGTGTCTCTTGTTATGCTAATGAGGTAACTTTTGGAAGCACCTGAGGATGGGGGGGGCTGCTTGCCACACAGCCAACCCTGTGATTGGAGGGTTGCACCTTTGAGTCCCACCCCTGCACCCAGTGGAGAGGGGCTGACAGCCAATGATGTAATCACTTATGCCTACGTAAGGAAGCCTCCGTAAAAAATCAAAAGGATGGGGTTCTGAGAGCTTCTGGGTTGGTGAACACATGGAGCTGCCGCAACAGTGGTGCCTGGAGAGGACATGGAACCTCCCAGCCCCTTCCCACTGCCCTGCGCTGTGCATCTCTTCCGTCTGGCCGTTCCTGAGTTACAGCCTCTCGTAATAAACTGGTGATCCGGTAAGTAAAATGTTTCTCTGAGTTCTGTGAGCTGCTCTAGCAAAGTACTCGAACCTGAGAAGGTTGTAGCAACCTCTGATTTATAGCCAGTTGGTCAGAAGCATAGATGGCAACCTGGACTCGTGCCTGGAGTCGGAGTGGTAGTCACCTAGGACTGAGTCCCTCGCCTGTGGGATCTGATGCTGTCTGGGTAGGCACTGTGGGAACGGAGCTGAATTGTAGGACACCCAGCTGGTGTCCCGAGAATCGCTTGTTGGTGTGGGATCCCCTCCCCACATTGGATTTGGTACTAGAACTCATTCAGTCCCATAACATCTGTTAAAATTCTACCAAGAGAATATTCTGAGAAATATACTAACACTTTGGGGAAACCCTGGCCTATGGAATCAATTTGGAATTCCTTACTCTGGTTTCCAAGGTTTTTGACCACCTGGCTGCAAGCTTCATTTCCTCCCATGCCTCTATATATACAGTCAGCCAGGGGATTGGTTCCAGGACCCCCACGGATACCCAAATCCTCAGATGCTCAAGTCCCCTATATAAAATGGCCTAGTATTTGCATATAACTCATCTAATACAATTAATACCTAATACAATGTAAATAGTTGCCAGGCATGGGGCAAATTCAAGTTTTGCTTTTTGGAACTTTCTGGAATTTTTTTTCCCCGACTATTTTCTACTGGTGGTTAGAGGAACTGCGTATCCAGAGCCCCTGGAGCTTGTCCTGCCTCTGCAGTTGTGCTGGGTTGATGTCCTGCCTCCTCAACTACCCCCTAAAAGCAGTAACCAGGTGCTAGGTACTTTTAGTCCCCTTTCCTGGTGCAGGGCCCTCCGAGGTAGGGGCCTGGTAAATAGCTGTCGGTTTGCTGAGTGTCTTGGGATTTGTGGGTTTGGTTTCTTCTCAGCTGGTGCTTCCCCACCTCCTGGACATCCTGTTTGGGTCACCCTGGAGGGCGGAGTGCCGGTCAGGGCTGCTGGGTGGCTAACATGACTGTCTAGGGCAACCATGGAAGGGACGGAGGGGAGGTCCGGGGGGAGGAACACAGCCGCCGAGAGGGTCTTGGGAGGGAGTGACCGGCTGAGTATGTGGCCCAAGGAGGTGAGAGTTCTGGGGTTAGTCCCTGCCCAGACTCTAGGGGCCTCAATCCAGCAGCCAAAAAAGAGGGGGCTGGGTCTGAACTTTTCCCTACGCTTGTCCCGCCTCCACCAGTCACTGGGGGGAACTGGCACTTCCGGTTGCTTCTGTACTGCCTTCCCGTTCTCTCCAATGAGAATGCAAGGGGCAGTGATGCTATCACAGGGAAAGCTTTGAATCTGCTCTGACGCACTAAGGGAGCGACTTCACGTTGTTATCCGTAGTCACAAGTTACTGGTCATCCATGTCGTGCTCTGAGGTTGGGGCCTTGCCATACTGCCCAGGTCTCCTAGGACTGTGGCTTCCAAACTTTCCTGTGCGTCTGGTTGGCCTGTAGGCCGTGTTCAAAGGCACCGGGCCTCACCCAGGAGCTGCTAGGTCAGCAGGTCCGGGGCGGAGCTGGAGGTTTTGCATCGCTAACAAGTTCCCAGGTGGTGCTGATGCTGCCGGTCTGGGGAATCACACTCCGAGAACAATTGATTTGGGGCATCACGCCCTTCCGGCTTCCCCAGCCCTGCCACCTGCTGCAAATGTCTCCCCACCGAAGTGAGGGGCTTTCAGTGGCTTTCATTATGCTGGGGATAGTCTGACCTCCATTTCAGTCTGTCTCCTCTAATTCTTTTGGTGGACGGATGGACAGTGGAGAGGGGGAGGAAATTAGGGATAAAAAGATAGCCGAGGGCTTCCCTGGTGGCGCAGTGGTTGAGAGTCCGCCTGCCGATGCAGGGGACACGGGTTCGTGCCCCGGTCCGGGAAGATCCCACATGCTGCGGAGCGGCTGGGCCTGTGAGCCATGGCCACTGAGCCTGCGCGTCCGGAGCCTGTGCTCCGCAACGGGAGAGGCCACAACAGTGAGAGGCCCGCGTACCAAAAAAAAAAAAAAAAAAAAAGCCGAGCTTAGTAAATGGTAGAGCCAGTATTTAAACCGTGGTCATTCTGATTACAAAACTCCCTCTGTGGACCACTTTGCTATGTGCTTTTGGAAACCTTTTAACAAAGAACCTGTTGTCAGGTTAAGACACTAGCTACTTCCCCGGCTCTTTCTGACAGTGTGTTGGGGATATTTCAAACGAGATGATTCAATGAAAACACTTAAAACAAGGCCTGACATAGAACAAACATCCAAGACATGTACACAGACGTACGTCCTGTAGCACAGAGATTAGAATCATAGGCTCTAGGTCAGAATGCCTGCGTTTGAATCCTGGCTCTGCCACTTATTAGCTCTTTGGGCAAGTTAGTTAAGCTCTCTGTAACCCAGTCTCCGCATCTGTAAAATGGGGAGGATAATAGTAGTACTTCCAGGCTTAGAACGGAGATCCACTGAATTCTTATCTGTAAAATACTTAGGACAGTGTTATCATTTCTGGTTCAATGCTTTTGTGCAAACTGAAGTATAAAGGGCATGGTAAAGGCAACTCAGACAGGCCTGGACTTTCAGTGGGGTTATTCTGAACACTTTACTGAATGTCTAGATGAATGCGACCTGGAGTCACACTCCCTGGACTCAAGTCTTGGCTAAAAACGACTCCTTAGTGAACTGGAACAAACAGCCTCACGTTTTTCATCTGTTCAATTGGGATAACCGCAGTAGTTCCTTCACAGGATGGCTTTGTGGACTACATGAATTAAACTGGACTTTAAAGCATGAGAACAGTGCCTGGCCTGGACTCTGTGTCCAATACGTGTCGGCTGGTATTCACAGAGAGTGGGCAGTACTTGTGGGCCTGACAGCCTTCAGTCTGTTTTCCAAAGCACGTCTCCGGTTAGGTCCCTGTCACCTTGCACAGAGGGATAAGCATGTGAGTGAAGACTGTCATAGTCTTGCTGCCTGTGTCTCAGTTTCATTTGTTATAGGAACCCACCCGTTTTCTTTTTCCTAGGTAGCCATTCTCCCCAAATCCCAAAGGCCCTGGCGGAATTGTTTTTTGAACTGATGTGTCAAATGCACTTAGACCTCAGATGGGTTTCTTATCTTGCAGCTAATACATTTTTTATAAATCATCAGCTCTGGTTTCCTTTCAAGCTGCAGAGAGGATATCCTTTTCCTGTTAAGCTGCAGAATGATTTTTCCCCCCTTCAAAGTAAAGCATTAACTTCCAGAGCCCTGTAAATCAGTTCAAATGTACATATTATTAGAGTAACAAGCTGAAGTTTTTGGAGCTTAGATGATACTCTGGAAGCCTGTATTACAAGACTTTACATCGATATTTCAGGCATTCCTAACAGTATCCAAACAGTGCGCATGACATACAAATACAAAGACCACTGAGCCTTTTCTTCCTTTACCTTTATTTTTTTCATTTTAGAAAATGATAAGTGTTCATTTTAGAAAACTTACACAAATAATTTTTTAAAATCACATATTATTCTACCACCCAGAGCTAACAACTCTTAACAACTTCTATTCTTTTTTTCTGTGCATGTG